CACCCAGAGGGAATAGTGCTTGTATATGCATTTGCTGATTCTGTGGTAGCTTGGGTTTGTTTAATGGTTGTTCATCAGGCGGTAGCTTATCTGCTCATCGTGCCTGGTAGTTTGTTTGCAGACGTCATGTTACCATACGTTTGGGTGTTTCTTCCATTTCTGCTAAAGGGTGCCTGATAAGTCTAACCTGATTGGTTGTTCGAGGACTGACTTGCACATAGTTTGACTCGTCCGCTCGGAAATTCGTTTTTGTTGTGGTTCGATCTTCATGCACTTGATTGGTACATTGAATAATTTGATTTTAGCTGTTTATTTCGATGTGCTCTGGGTCCATCCTGCGTCCCGGTCGCTGTGGTCATTTTACTGGTTTTTAACGGGTCCACTATACACTTTTCTGTCCCTCGCAACTTCTTTTTGTTGTTTTTTTTTGCGTCCTGGTTCGGCGGTTCGTATACTCTTTGTTTGTACAATCCGGCGAGCTGCTGCGGTTTGTTCTGCGGTCTGTCTTACAGTTTTAGGCTTAAGGGTTTCCTAAGAGGTTGATAGGTTGAGTTATTCTCAGTGTGTTTGTTATTGGCGTTCTGACTTGAATGCCTCCATGAATCCACGTCCCTTCCTTGTTGTTGCTTGGGCCACTATTTGGACTTGGTTTTAGTTGCGTTCTTATCCTTCCTGATTTTCGTATACAATAATGAGTGACGCTGATTATGCCTCGATCGCAAATCAGTGTCCGTGTGGTCTGATAGGTGATTTTCTTCCTGTTTGTTCAACGTAATGCTTGTCACGATCCTTGCACTGAATTGTGTACAAAACGTTGGTCTTCATTGCCTCCATTTCCATGCGCTCGTAGTTTTATGGATCACCATTATGTTCCGCTGTGGTAACACGCAGTCGTTTTGAAAATGTTCTTGATGTATGGGAGTGTAATTCGTTTCCTTTTTATGTGCAGGATTATCAAAAGAAAGTCTCAGGTGACCATTTCCGTGTTGGATTCCGTGTTGATGCAACGCACTTCAGTGTGGCTTCATAGGATGACTCCAGTGAAACCAAATCGGATTTGTTTGCCCTTGTCCCTTTTAATCAATTCACTGACCTGCATATGTTCGTCTGTTTGAAAGCGTGTCCGTAATTTTCCCTAATTTTGATATTGTGTTTATGTAGATGGAGAATACTGGAATCCAACTCATACTGTTATCTAAGTGCACTGAGTGCATGGGTAATGGAGACCAGTTTGAAAACATAACGAAGTGATATAAATCAATGTGCTCGATTGTTTATTGGTCTGGATTTGTGTGACGGGATGCTTGGATCTTGTTTTGACGACATTAGCCACAGAAACACCTGAGGTTACTCGATATCGTTTGCTGGATAGTGAATCATTCCCTTGTAATGTCATGGTTTGCCTACTAGCAAGATACTGTCCTGTGTAACCGACCGAGTTAAGAGGTTTGCTTGGGAGTGGTCACTTGTTGAATTTGGCTGAAGTATAGTGGGGCGACCTGCAATCCACTGGAAGTCGGTGACGAGGATGCCCGTTCGCATGGGATTACCCCACAGACGCATGTACCGGTGTGTTTTGCAGGTCATTCTAGACTGGACAGCAACAACTGAAGCTTCACATGTACCGCCCAAGACAGATTCACTGCTGCAACCGAGACGCTGCACCCTTCGCTCCAGAAAACTTGTTGGACCTTTTCAGCTTGATCCGCGCTGACAATCTTACGTTGAACGGCCAAAAGGGAGAGGTGTCAGGAAGGTCATATTATCCCAGAATACCTGAAACTTACTGTGACCCTCAAACTACACTAAACGCCTATCAGACAACCTTGGATTAAGGTCAAGCAGTGCTGTTCAATATAATCACTATCCTAGTTGTCACCGCAATCTTGTTGACATTTGCTCATGCGAATGACCTCTGCTAATTGCATCTACGCTAACGATGCAGGCATCGGTTGCGTTATTATCAGTGGTGCACGTTTTTCGATATACTGCGCCTGCAGGTCCACTCTAGCTACACAGGAACCACATGGGTTCGGTTCGAATGTTGCTGAGTGAATCTGTACCGTAGCCATTAATCATCCGTTTGTTGCAACCGCGTTAATAGAATTGAAATCCATCCATGTCCCTAACGAAGCAAGGCTGTTTTGTAAGCTGAGTGCTCATCGTCTCCAACCTCCAACCCATGTTCCGTAAGTCGTGGTGCAATTAAGCGGAAAAACACTTACCAAACCAGATAGTCATTGTGGCATCCCAGCTATAGGTGGTGCTCAGTGGAACGGTAACTTGATTCAGCCTGAGCGCATGAAGCTGCGCAAATCCTCTACTGAGAGTAAACCTAATAAATAATAATAGAAGCAATCGTTCAGCCGTAATACCACTTCGGTGTGTTGCTCCCATGCCACATGAAGGAAACACGAAAAATGACCTTACAGTCAGGAGGTTCGCATCCCAACCAGTAAGTTATTTCTAGCTATCTAGTTATCTCTCAACAGATTAAATGGCTAAACTCTGGCACAAGCCCATTAATCTCTCACAACCGTCTTCACCCCAACATGCGCGGCCCATCCACAATCGTTCGACCTATCGACCCAGTGGCTTGATAACACCCTGATAATAGACCATGCACCCAGAGGGAATAGTGCTTGTATATGCATTTGCTGATTCTGTGGTAGCTTGGGTTTGTTTAATGGTTGTTCATCAGGCGGTAGCTTATCTGCTCATCGTGCCTGGTAGTTTGTTTGCAGACGTCATGTTACCATACGTTTGGGTGTTTCTTCCATTTCTGCTAAAGGGTGCCTGATAAGTCTAACCTGATTGGTTGTTCGAGGACTGACTTGCACATAGTTTGACTCGTCCGCTCGGAAATTCGTTTTTGTTGTGGTTCGATCTTCATGCACTTGATTGGTACATTGAATAATTTGATTTTAGCTGTTTATTTCGATGTGCTCTGGGTCCATCCTGCGTCCCGGTCGCTGTGGTCATTTTACTGGTTTTTAACGGGTCCACTATACACTTTTCTGTCCCTCGCAACTTCTTTTGTTTTTTTTGCGTCCTAGTCCGTCGGTTCGTATACTCTTTGTTTGTACAATCCGGCGAGCTGCTGCGGTTTGTTCTGCGGTCTGTCTTACAGTTTTAGGCTTAAGGGTTTCCTAAGAGGTTGATAGGTTGAGTTATTCTCAGTGTGTTTGTTATTGGCGTTGTGACTTGAATGCCTCCATGAATCCACGTCCCTTGTTGTTGCTTGGGCCACTATTTGGACTTGGTTTTAGTTGCGTTCTTATCCTTCCTGATTTTCGTATACAATAATGAGTGACGCTGATTATGCCTCGATCGCAAATCAGTGTCCGTGTGGTCTGATAGGTGATTTTCTTCCTGTTTGTTCAACGTAATGCTTGTCACGATCCTTGCACTGAATTGTGTACAAAACGTTGGTCTTCATTGCCTCCATTTCCATGCGCTCGTAGTTTTATGGATCACCATTATGTTCCGCTGTCGTAACACGCAGTCGTTTTGAAAATGTTCTTGATGTATAGGAGTGTAATTCGTTTCCTTTTTATGTGCAGGATTATCAAAAGAAAGTCTCAGGTGACCATTTCCGTGTTGGATTCCGTGTTGATGCAACGCACTTCAGTGTGGCTTCATAGGATGACTCCAGTGAAACCAAATCGGATTTGTTTGCCCTTGTCCCTTTTAATCAATTCACTGACCTGCATATGTTCGTCTGTTTGAAAGCGTGTCCGTAATTTTCCCTAATTTTGATATTGTGTTTATGTAGATGGAGAATACTGGAATCCAACTCATACTGTTATCTAAGTGCACTGAGTGCATGGGTAATGGAGACCAGTTTGAAAACATAACGAGGTGATATAAATCAATGTGCTCGATTGTTTATTGGTCTGGATTTGTGTGACAGGATGCTTGGATCTTGTTTTGACGACATTAGCCACAGAAACACCTGAGGTTACTCGATATCGTTTGCTGGATAGTGAATCATTCCCTTGTAATGTCATGGTTTGCCTACTAGCAAGATACTGTCCTGTGTAACCGACCGAGTTAAGAGGTTTGCTTGGGAGTGGTCACTTGTTGAATTTGGCTGAAGTATAGTGGGGCGACCTGCAATCCACTGGAAGTCGGTGACGAGGATGCCCGTTCGCATGGGATTACCCCACAGACGCATGTACCGGTGTGTTTTGCAGGTCATTCTAGACTGGACAGCAACAACTGAAGCTTCACATGTACCGCCCAAGACAGATTCACTGCTGCAACCGAGACGCTGCACCCTTCGCTCCAGAAAACTTGTTGGACCTTTTCAGCTTGATCCGCGCTGACAATCTTACGTTGAACGGCCAAAAGGGAGAGGTGTCGGTCATGTCATATTATCCCAGAATACCTGAAACTTACTGTGACCCTCAAACTACACTAAACGCCTATCAGACAACCTTGGATTAAGGCAGTGCTGTGCTGTTCAATATATAAAGCGAGACCGTTGTACTTTCACACTCGTTCTTTTACAATCTGTTGTATTCCTTGTCGGCGAATCTTTTTCCGGCACCAAGGCACCGGAGCGGGGACGGCAGTCAGATGCAACAGTTGAACACACACACAAACCGTACTTAAGTTGAGCTGATTTTCAGTCATGGGAACGAGCCTCGAGGTGAGATAAATCGAGATGAATCAAGCCACTTGAAAACTTTTTTCCCCCCCTCCCCCCCCCCCCCTGGGCGTGCTGATTAGTGAGAAGTGACTGTCTGATTATCCACCAGTGATTAGATTTTCTAAAGAATTTCGATACAAGATACAACCAGTTCTCTAAAACGAGTGTTTCTTCAGTTTATCCTTTTAGCTCAAGAGCATTACTTGCCGTCCATAGGTCTTAGTGACTGATCTCCATTTATCGGCAGTGTTACAAATAATGATATAGACAGATCACTTAGGCTGATTGTATTCAAATGACCCTGGTTAAGTTCTTGATATGTTTTTTCTTTATCCAAAATCAACAGAATGATGCTGGTGCACCCCCTCGGAACGATGGTGTGTCAGGGAACCGTGGTATGCTTGGTCCCTATAATCCGGGTGGCACCTTCGGTGTTCCTCAAAGCCTGCGTGTTGCATGCGGGAACTGCAACTCTCCGTTCTCCGTTGCGGGTGATCCATCCAACTCAGAAGCCCGACAAAATGCACTCATATCTTGCCTTTCTGGTGGTACTTCAGCCGGTGCTGCTGGCCTGATCGCCGCCCGGTGCCCTCATTGTCGCAAAGTCACTTCCGTTGGACCAGCCTACGCTCGTGTCCGACTGGTCGTCTATGGTTTGCTCACGTTAGTAGCTTTGATCTTAGCAATTGGAGTCACAGCGGGAACCGCAAAGGTCGCCCAAGAGAATAAGGCGCTCTACTTTTTGTGGTCAGGTGAGTGAGTGATTTCCACAGTAGCTAGAAGCGGAAAAACTTATGCATCATACACGTTGTCGATTTCGATACTGGCCTCTCGGACAAATCATTAGTGCTTACTGTTCCGCTTTTCCTCAGCCGGATGATTATTATTACTATTCACCTATGGTAGTTAAGCGCCAGCAAGTATTAATGCTGGTGATCATGGTGTGATGCGAATTAAATAAGGTGATAGACTACTCATAAGGTCGTTGGTCGGAACCAACGAGTTTGCATTGATGTGACGAGGACACAAGCTAAGGTGTTTGGGACATGCATGCCGAATAATGAAGATTTCCGTCAAGAGGGATTCTTTCTCGTCGCCTAAAAGTCACTTTGTGACAAGAATGTCCATCAGCCCCCTTCCCCCGTGGTGAGCATTGTTCACATGTTTTTCCCCAACTAAATTGTCGCAACACTCACAAGCCCGCAAAGACCAAAGAAAACCTACCAGTGGCTCCCGCGGTGAATCATCAATTGAAGCACGTTGGAGTTGAAGATCAAGGAAGAAAAACCTATCGCAGCTAATTTGAAACACCAACCGACACTCAGCACTAATCTAGTGTGATAATCTGAAGAGGCCTTATGTATGGCTCCCCCGTCTGCCTTAATACCCTGGTCACTTGGCCTGATGAAGCTTTCGTGTCAAAAGTGAAACGTTGCCCAATTAGAAACTACCGATTGTTTACCAAACCCATCTGAAACGATTGTGCCCATGTTCTTCAAAATAGCATTCAGTAAGACCCGAGCCTTCAGGACCCCACTAACTGATGATGTTTCTGGTCGCTTTGCTGTGTTTTTATACTTAATGAAAGGAGGACCCCATGTTCGATATCTTGTGTAAACACGTGGGATGCACGTTTAAGAGGCGAGAATGAAGAGGCGGAAGAGGTTAACTCTTGCCGTCGTTCTTCTGGGGCAGTAGCAGTAGAATGAAAAAAAAATAAAAGGGGTCCAAGCCCGACGATTAGAATCTGGCTATGAGGCTCCTGAATTACTGAGTTGACTGGAGGTAGCTGGGTGGTTGAGGTGGGAGACCACCGACCGATCCAAACCCAACCCTGGCCATTCGATTACTCCTCTCTAGGCTTGGGCACACCGGTAGTATCCTATCTTCCGTTTGGTTGAATGACAGCTGTTCTCAGAAAGGGTGCCGCTTAGGCAAGTTTAAAACAGGGAACCTCGTCTCCCAAATATGGGCGGTGGCCCAGAATGGTCCGAATTTGGAGACCATAGATTGAGTTGAGGAGGGATGACGCACTCGTCAGCTTGGAGTAGGAAACTGGCCTTTCCAGAAGCACGGTCCTGCGGAGCTTGATATGAATAGTCCAGGAAAGATTGCTGATAAAAGTGAGTTTGAACAATGGGGAACGGTGCGAGAAATAAAGGTTAGGTGAGGGATGGCGAAAAAGGGTTTTGGAGGTGTCATCAGAGTAGAATATGGAACAGAAACAGGAGTGACAGAATTGACGATTGACCGCTTTGACCCTATTCCAGGACGGCTGCTTCCAGTTGGCGCGCTTGACAATCGATCTTCTCTGTTGATTACCATTGTTAAAGATTTACGACCGCCAGAATAGGCAACCCACTATCTCTCCTACAGAGAGAGAGAGAGACTTGGGTCTGTAAACGATTAGACGACACCAAGGACATTTTCGGCTCCAGGTGAAAGTTGAGGCATCGTCCCAGATCAAATTTCCGACGAACGACGTCGCGGAAGTTGAAGCATGCCCTCAGTCACCAGTAGACTATCGTCCAGAAAATAATACGTGAGGTCCGTTATTTTCGCCAATGCAAATGGATGAGAATGTGACATAAGAAGGGATACGTGTCCACAGCAAACTGACAGTTTGTTTCAAGCTATTGTTCACACATTTTGATGGGTATTGACCAGTAACATAGCCTGTCTGAAAGCTAACGATTTCGAGTTAACTTTGCGAAATTCCGAACGATATTTTCGGGTCAACCTTGTGAACAGTGGTTAGAACGTGTTTCACGATCGATGGAGCATGTTTCCGGGTCTCAGCTTGCTGCCCACCGATCGGTCGGTAGTCACCTGACTGTCCTGGGACGTGCTCGCATGAGCTTTCGCCGCAACTACATGTGAATTGGCACACAACATGTGAGGTATAAAGACTGAATGCTGTGCGTGTTGCACATCGTAGATTGATTTGTCTTGGTGAGGGTAGGGTTAGTTGAGGTGTTGGGTACGTGCAACCGACTACAGCGTATCACTGTAGTTAGCTGGCCTCCTTTAAACTGTAATTTGATGGAAAATCAGTGCACACACTGTTGATTTGGTTTATCTTGTTAATTAAAGTCCGTCGTAGTTGCTGTCGTATCGCTTGAGCAATATGCCCGTATTGGTTTGCTTAAACCAGTGATGTACTTTTCAACTTGTTCTCTCCACGGTTTTTAATCGCCATATAAAAAGCCAAACCGGAACACTTGAAATAATATACACGGTTCTTAATTATGTGAGAGGTTTTGCCCTCCAAGAGGGGTTCGCCAGTTGTGTAGCCACTTCCTTTCAGATCATAGAAAAGCTCCCCGTCGGGAACAGGTAGCTTCTTCATAACAAGCACGATATCACTGCTTCTCTTAATGGTTGTTTTCAGGGAGGGGGGAGGCTGCACAGATACTAACATCTCGGTGTTTGTTGCTCTGGGGTTTTGATATCATCACATGCACATCCGATTGAGTTTGAGATTTTCAAGCCCACAAATACGTAGCCCGTCTCGATTGTCTGCCAGGAAAATTCCCCTCAGCCAAGTACGATTCCGCAGATGCATGAGGCATTCCCGTTCTTTCACGATTCAGGGAGGCTTTTATGTATTCATTTTTTAACCAAAGGTATGGATTGGACATTCTGAACAATGTCATCTCACAACCAACTTGTCATTCTGCCGCCGACTCGTTTTCGTTTTACATGCATGTCGTGCGACCGCAAGGCCTGTCTTGCAAACCAGCACTGACGACGATTGAAAATGTAACCGCAAGCATTAGGCCGCTTGCTTGTGTATTGTAGCGTGCATTGTGATTCAATGATGGTGCGCACCTCATAACCTGAGTTGCTTGTTTCACGTACAAGACAACTGTTCTGGTTCTTCCAGCTAGCCTTCCATCACCCTCGTGTCCAACTTTCCTCTACCGCCTCTCTTTTGAAATCGTTTACCTTGGTAATATTCGCCCTGTCTGGACACTTGGTGACCGGTACAATCCATAATCACGATTCGCGTAAGTGGATTTCTGGCCATCGTTTTCTCTACGAGCACTTCTCACTGAAAGATTCTCTTCGGTGGTGGAATCGGATGGATTTATTCCTGTGGATATTTTTAAATAAATAAATAATCGTTCAGTTTAACGACTTTTCGTTGCCTATCCGCATGCCACCCGAAGGAATCACATGGACTAAGATATTGCCAGGTTGCTCAAGGCTAAACGACGGTGGTTGTGATATCGGGGTTCGATTCAAACTACGAACAATTTGGTCAGTAAGTTCGCCCCTTAACCTCTGATGTGTCTCCACTGATCCAAGTAAAATAGCGTTTGTGCTCATACTCTGGACTGGTTACGACACCGTTTGTTGATCTTCTTACAATTGCTTATGACATTTTAGAACCGAGGAAACATGGAAAGATGTGCGACTTTAGTTGTCTTTCATTACTATTACCGCATTCTTCATCATCTCGATTTTGCGCGATTACTAATTTCTCTTTTTCCATTTTACAGTACTTTACTTAGTGGTTGTTGTACTGGGATTGCGGGCCGTGGTTTTCTGGCTCATGCCGGTCAGTTCCGTCGAAGTTCCTGTCCTGCATATTTGACATATTTGGCCTCTGGTGATTTCCTATTTCCATTCATCCCGCTGGTTACGTGTCTGACTCCTCGTGAAACCGCATCATGTATAGTACTCATTTATGATTTCGACATCGCCAAATCACTTCCAACTAATCGGTTTTCACGAACTGCCATCGTTTCTATCCAGTAACGATATTGACGTTGAGCTGGTCACCCATAGATCACCGGGGATCACCGTTTCATCACCTGATTACTTTCTTGGTTAATTTTCCGGGTTCTCCCTCCGGAGTTTCTCTTGTTCGTGCGACCGGAGTGGCTTAGCTGTCAATGCAGTTCGTCATTTCGATTATAACCTTGATCGTGCTTACATCGTCTCTTGCGGACCCTTTCTGTTTCTTGCCTGGGCTCTCTCAATCGTTCCCCAAACTCCTGAACATTCGTTTTGCGAGTGAACAGAGGCTCAGACTTTAGAATCGTCCCCCTCCACTCACTCTCCATCGATTGCCATAGGACTGCCTCGGACATCTGGGTGCATCCAAGTTTCTCACGTTTCACTTGCATGTTAACTCATTCAAATACACGTCGCGGTTAGACTGTTAGATGTTGTGTCGAAGTCTTGAAGAAAGACAGCCGGGATTACGTAGTCCCATGGCGATGATGCTGATAAATTCAGGATTATACTTCCAAAATATCATGTAGGTTAAATTTTTGGGAATGGCAGCACAACTGGTTGAAAACACTGATGAAATAATCCGTAGGTCTCCTAAAAGGACTCAACGTGGGTACCCTTTCGACGCGCGTTTCGCATCCTTCTAGGTTGCTGACTTTCTCTTTGTTCTGCCGGATATGCCTAAATCTTGATAAACCATCCTCGTTTTAGCACAATCAGACCGCCTTATAACATGATTACCTGTGGTAGGAATTCGCGCTGATGTCAGTCTGATTGGTATCTCTTGACCTTGCTAGCATAATTGTGCCTCGCGGAATTAAGTTTCAACCACTGTAGCCCACGCGACCGTTGCAGGACTTCAAACTGACCACTTTCAGGGCAGTAACTGTAGGCCGGGTCAACACCCGACACCACCAAGACTTTGCAAGGTATTTTTCTTAGTCGGTCTGTCAATCAGTATCTCATGTTACCACCTGCAAGGAAGTGGCACAGTTTGTCGAGATGCCTAAGTGCTCTTAAACCGGGATTAGCTCGGCGGGACAACCGTTGAATTCTAAACTGGAATATACAATCAGAGGCGTTCCGTTTTCTCTTGAGCACACCGAAAACCCTTCGACAGCCTCCGATCGGCTTCGTCTGTCTCGAAGCCCAGGTGTTTTCTAGTTTCCGCCAACTTTCTTTTCTAGTTGTACCTAGATTGTACGCAATTCCCGAATTGTACTCACTTTTGGTTTTAATGGGAGACTGAACTGACGTAGCCATCTCTCTCGCTTACGGTATTCTTCAACTTGACGTGCTGCAGAAAAGCCACCTCACATCTCATTGGCACAACGTTCGAGATATCGCGTGACGAACCACTACTCAGCTGGGATTCAATTGACGTTCCCGTTAAAATCAAGTTATTTTATTAGTGCGCTGCTATTCTGTTTCCGACATACAATTCTAGACGCAGAAGCTAATTTAGCTGACTATTTTGTGATAGACTCAGAAATAAGTATGCTTATTACTGCTGCCCTAAGGTTGATCAAAACTAACCGAGTTTACTTACATCAACTTAGCCATGTACTCCCAAATGAATTTTTACGGTTGGAAAATTTGTGGACGCGAGAGTGCAAAGTTTAGCCCTAATTTAATAGTATCGTAAGCCACAAGCATGTCAGAGCTGTTCACCTTTCGGCAATTTGCGGCATGCTCACTTTTGCAGAAGTATGAAACTATGTGACCTTGAATAACAGGTAAGTTTAGGTGAGTTATTATATCCGGTTTTTTGGCCTTATTAGATATGGTCTCAGCAGCATGTGGCTCAAAATTTCCGGTAAGATTTGGAGACGAGGTCAATGTATTGACCAGTTTTTAATAGGTAAATCGGCCACTTTAGTGTGTGTTTAGACGCTCTTGTTGATGTCCTACCTATAAGTGTCACTGCAAGAACACGTAAACTGATAGACTACACGAGATGAAGAACGAACAAACTATTTACTCGTGTGTGGATCGCAAGTCTGCGGTACGTGAACCCTAGTCTTCTAGCGATTGGTGAGATCATAGTGATTGAGACTTATCAAGCCGCAGCTAGTGTGTGTGCAGACGATTTTGGCTCAGAATTCATGGTTCCCATGGCACCAGTCATGTGACCGACAGCCAACAAGTGTTTGTTTACCATTGTTGTTCCGTCTCAACTTTTAGTCCTGCATACTTCACATCGGCGACCGAAGACAGATGCTAATAACGTGAAATATATCACTCATCTGCCTGAACGAAATGGATTATTTTTTATGCCAATAACAGTCAGGTAAAGGAAAATTTGGAGAGTTACCCTTTTGTGTGCTGGCGCTCACGATTCGTATCACGCATAATTCTGAATTGATTGACGTTTGTGTGATCCCGTGACTAATGAAGACTGTGCTCACGCCTGAATCAAAATATCAAACGCATATGTGGGTACATCAGGCCTATAGACTATAACCATGTACCGGTGCACACTGCGGATGTACGGTAGCTGCTGGGTACTCATTATTAATACCGACGGAACACCATATCTCGTACCTGCTGCTGTGAAAATCAGCGGAATTCGATATGTTCAAAGGTGAACGCAGAGCAAGCACAAGCGAATGGAGAGAGTGCAGAATTACTCCCTTCATCCCCACACTTTCAGCCGTGTTACGATGCATTAAGAGTTCTTGCGCGGCTCGGAATTCCGTTAGAGTCGTCTCTTCTTTTCTGTTTAACTTTGTCATGATACAACTAATCCCAGGAACCAGTCAGTGCAACAATACTCTCGTATTTAGTAGGTTTATTTGTAAAGCTGAACGTGGAGGGTTTTCTATCGACTCAGTTCCTTTACGGCAGTGTAAAGGCCATGGTACACGTGTGTATTGACTGCAATGAAATACGTGCCTTACAGTCAGTTGGAAAGTTTCATTAAACGCTCCGTAGGCGAAATGTTTCTTTGGATTCTGTCCACAGATACTTGTTTTTTAAACTACTCTTGTTCACATAACCAACTATTCAAATTATTCACGAAAACATTAGTGGCATATGATTTTAACCTACGGCTCAGAAGAACATCGTGTTTTGCAGGCGCGCACTTCGTCAAGACGGTTGGTTACATTTGTAGCAGGTCCATCACAAATTCTTGGATTTGACTTGTGTTTCGCCGGTCCGTCGCTCGGCTTCAAGTGACAGAGGATATGATTTGAGTTAGAACAGCTGGAGGTCTGTTACTGAGTGTGTCAGGTGACATTTGTATGACAGATGACCTGTACAATCCATGGACAATGCTACTGAACAGGGAAGACTTGTACTCACGATTATGAACAATTGCATGATCCTGTTTTGATCAGGTGGTAGTCTCAAGAAGTTGCATAATGGAGATATGTTGGCGACATCCAGAAATTGACACAATAAGGTTCCCACCAAGGGTTTAGAGCGCGAATTTACTGTCTGGAAGGCCCGTGGTTCGAACCGGACCTCTGACTCTTCACTTCCCTGTCTGGCTTGGGCAACTTAGCAGCCCAGCCATCGTGCTTCCTTCGGGTGGCATGGCAGCTAGGCATCGGAAGGGTGTTACAGCTGAACAAGAAAACACCCTTCGTAGCTTAAACTACAGAGAATCTTCGTCATCAGGGCCGCGCCGTGGCTTCAAAGTTACCTGACGATCGTAATATCGACCATCATATTTCTGGGTTGTACAAATTCCTTGCTATTTAGAATATCTACAATCCGGTATACCACCTCTAGTCTGGCGGGTGATGAGAGCACTGTAGAAGGCCGAGGATATATTTGGAAAGCATTTTCACCGACTGATCCCCAAATAATTGCTTTTGATCGTGGGCAGAGTACGACAATGAACGTCGTGCCCCATGGTCCAACTACAGAGCGCAATAAAAATATCGAGGAACAATCTGGTCAACATCGGGGAACGAAAGTGTTAGTGGTCGCGCGTATACTCCAGTTATAAACGAAATTTCATCCCGGATATTTGAATCCACCGTTTAAAAACATGCGATACGAACTTCAGCTAGTATCATCGACAGCATGGAATCGGTGTTTAACACTGATTCTTCGCTGCCGTACCGTCATGATTTGTTTGATAGTCTTTTTTTTTTGAAGAAAAGAATAAAAGCAGATGGGAAAGGTATACAATACTGGCGCACCATAATCGTTCCAAGGTGCTACACCTTCAGACACTGAATAGAAACTGAAAACGACAACACCGTTCACAGTGACCAGCAGCAATATCTTGCAACTATCCAGTCATGCAGGGGGATCACCCGGACGCTGCCCTGGAAGGCGAGTAGCACCGACAGCACCCAAACGTTTCGTAATCTTTCATACCCCTCTGCCAGGTCAGGGGTTAACCACCTCCCTGCTTCCTGCACCCTAAATTGAGCAAAAGAAAACAGCTTTTTGGCGAACCATGGTTCGACACCCGCAATATATGGCATAGCCGATGCAGCTTTTGGTGCTGGACAACTGAACACTCGTTTTTTTGGTTGTTTCGTTGCGGATTTGCCTTTATCAGCCCACATGAGCAATGGTTACATTTGGTATCCTGTCTGATGCGTTCAAACTACCTACGAGCGACATCCGCTGACACGACGCCCAGGTTGCAACCCACAGGAAGTGTTCATCATAGATGAGGCTCTTTGGAAGCAGCGAGATGTGTCACCTGAAACTCTCACCTATCCAGACAATTCTGGCCTGTTTGTGCCTCTTTTTTGTATTTATCTTCATTTAGTTTGATAGTTTCACCTCAGTCCTATCACTCTTCGGCAGTATCTGCCATGGATTATTTGTGGCAACATTAGTTGGGTGCAAAATCCTTACACTCGCACACATTTCGGTTGCATGGTGTCAAATCGGCCTCAGCAGAGAACTAGCTGCAAACAAGTGATCCGTTTAACTGCACTTATCCCCCTCTAAAAAACAACCATAAAGATTCCACGATCATTTAGTCGTCCACTGCGCTGCTGTTTCTCCTCGCTGAATTACGTGACACTGTGTGTGACTTGTCCTTGCGTATGAGCGTATTGATGGTGAGGGAAGCGCAAATTATGTGCAATGGGTTCAAAGCTTCCCGGCAATAAGCTCGGATTGCATTTAGATGTGTAGTCCATTTTACTGACGATCAGCTTACTCCGCGGCTCAACAGAAGGCTGTTGTGTTTATCGTTTCCGTTAGCTATCTGCTGCCAGACATTCACCAAAGTCCTGTGCATATGCATAACAGAGTACCAAACTTAGCAGTCAGGTGTGTGTGCGCCGCCGTCACTACAGCTATGCTGTCAACGAAGCCAATTGGATTCACTGAAGGCGAGTGTTAATGTTGTACCGGTGAGATAAACAGAAAAATCGTTAACGGGCCAAGCTGATTTTCCAAGCTCCGTTTCAACACATGCAGAAGTTGCTTTAGAGCG